TCCAGTTTCCATCCCCTTGTTTTCTCAAATTCAATACTTGAAAATTTTTAAAAACGACTTCTAATGTTATAAACTGCGTTAGGGTTGGGAAATTGGAAAAGAGCCCAATTATGTGGTTGATTTTCTTGTTCTTTAACATCTGGCAAGTATTTTAGATAAAATATTGGAAATAATACACTTCAATAAATCTTTTAAACAACTTGTTTTTTCGCATTGTTTGCAAAAAAAAATGATCAAAACTGTTTTTAGACCCTTGAATCAATCTGTCCAGGAGTCTTTTTGAAATTTTAGTGAGTGGAAATCTATGCAGCAAAAATTTGGAAACCAGATCTGAGCATCTTAAAGTCTTGCCTTTATCAGATCTTGTCCAGACATGGTGCATGTTTCGTTTGGACATGGACATGTCTGAATCAGGACTGAGGCAGGTATGGATTCTATCTCAAAAGCAGATCTGCTCAAGGCCTGATTCAGACCTGGGGCACACATGGGTCAGACCTGGTGCAGATATGTTCAGATCTGACCCATATATGTTCCAGGTATGTTCCAGGTCTTGTGATAGAATATATACCTGCCTCAGTCCTGATTCAGACATGTCAATGTCCAAACGAAACATGCACCATGTCTGGACAAGATCTGATTTTCAAGTTTTTGTAAGGTACGGGAAGCGAAACCTTGACAATCAGCTAGCTGCCCGACCCTGATCTACCCTAAACCGGACCTGACCGATGAGGCCGATACAACGAGGACAAAATGTGTTATATTTAATTTCCCTCGAAATTTCCTCGATATTCTTTTCTTTCCAGTTCACCATCTCTTTTGTAAAACTATGAGAGCTCCTGGGTCCTGTTGACAGGAAACATTATCGCTGATTCAGAAATATCTCAGTTTTGTGGAAAAATTCACAAGTAATTTAGGCATATACCAGCTTTATAATATTTTTAGCGAAGCAATGATAAAACACTGAATCAACACTGATTTTTTTTTTCAAAATTTTGAATTGATATCAAAGTTTTGCGGACATTTTCTAGAGGGTTTTCACTTCATTGAAATTCTTAAAAATTTAGATAAACGAACTATGAGTTAGCTAAATTTAAGTTAAGCCCGTTTCAGTTTTTAACTAATTTTCAAAAAAAATTCCCAAATTTTCGGGTTACTGGTTTTCGTCCTAGTTTCTATCGGTTCAATTTAAGCTTACAAAAGCAAATTTTTTAAAATGTAGGGTTTATACTTTGCAGCTTTTTTACAGGATGCGTTTTGCTCTAATTTGAATAGATTATACTAGGACTAAAACTTTACAAATATATAAAGCTACTATGCCTGATTTTGATTTAAATTTTTTTTCTATTTTATTAAATACTCACACAGTAGCTGTTTATGTTATTTCAACTAGGTCAGATTATTTTGCGTAATTTTGAGAGCTAAATTTATCCAATTGGAATTAGGTGTTTCAGTTTGGTGGGTCGTAAATATTTCTAAGTTAAAGGAAATTTTTAAAGACAACACTTTTATCTTCTGCTCAACAGGTTTCGACCCAAACTTTGACGCCGCTCGATAAATGATTTCCATTTTAAGGGCTGCTTGTAAACTTCGTCTGTATGAATTCGTCTGTCGCAAAAATCAAAGTGGAGCCCTTGTTTTTTTCTTCACCGGTTTTTTTTTCGGTTATAAGGCCCAAAATCTTTATTTCAGTGTTTGAAAGTCAAATCAAATTATTTGACACTGATTAGTTGAATGTAGTGAACTTAATCTTTTAAGGTATTGGTAATCAATAAGTACAAAATAGTACTTGTTCTTAACTTTATCCAGTTGCACAAAAACTTTGCAAAAAAATTTATTTGCATCTCTTATTTTCACGTAAGCTTTGTTTTTGATCGGTGCAAGACAATTCGTGCAATTAAAATCACTTAAAATTTATCACAGGCAAAAATAGTTACAAACTTCAATTTTTCTATTTTTCATTTGTCGTTGTAAGCTTTGAGAGTAGACAATCTTGAAAAAGTTTAAGCTAATGGCAGGAAACAAAAAGCATAAAATTTTCAGTAGGTGGCCATACAGTGCACTATGTGTCGCATAAATTAGTGTAAGCTATGTGTCATCATTGGAATCCACAAACAAGTCTATAATTATGATACAAAATGTCTTTGGATTCCGCGCAAAAACATCTGTAACGTAGGTTTTGTCGTAACAAAAGTTTTGCCGAGGGTTCCGCAACAAGCCGAGCGAAAATAGCTAGTTGTTTTGAATTTCAATATGTGTAATCAAGTTCTGCAAAAATAAGCACCATCATCAATCAACAAAGCTAATCACTGAGTGCTCATAAAACTTTCAAATGTAGGAAACGTATGAAAAATTGGCTCTTTTCTTCTTTCAACCCCACGTTTCATTTTTCATTTTTCTTAGTTTTTTTTACGTGTGATTACGGCTAAATGAGTGATGTAACGATTTAATGTATGAATTTAAAATCTGTTCACAATAATTAGTGTGTTCACCGTGCAAAATTATTACATTGTGGCGACTTCAAAATAGTTTCTAAAATTTAAATTCAAATGTGGGGGGGGGGGGAGTGAAAAGAGCAAAAATTGTATATGATTTACTTGACGTAAAGTTTTTGTCTTCTGGAGCTCAGAATTGGAAAGTTTGTTTTTAGAAAATGGCTTTCTACCCCCAATTTTTGAGTTTTCTGTTTTCATAGTTGATTTGAATGTAACTATGGCTGAACGCATAATGTTGGGATGTAAGGTATGAAACATAAATCTGTTCACGGTTGCTAGTTTTGTTCGGTTGCTAGTTTGTTCAACTTTAATTGCATAATCGCCAAGTATAAGTAGTTTTTCATAATGGAAATTCAAAGTTAGGCGATTGGAAAAAAGCCGGAAAAACAATCGCGGTTTCTCTGCTGAAACTATTGATTTTTATACTCCGATTGTTGTGACCATTGACAGTTTATTTGATTCCAGAAAGACCTCCGTACGCAAAAAAACTACTATAACGCAAAATGAGTGGCTTTCGAATTTTTGACCTCATCGGCGCGACAACTCATGCTGGCGGCAACTTAAAAATATTATAGTTTGTTCATATCAACTTAGTTACTAAATGTTTTATTTTGAGTCAGTTTTCTACATGTTTTGTTCAATCCAGTCATAAAAATGGGAAACTCGAATAAAGTAGCTTTCGCCGCTGCAATATTGGTTCGACACGTAACTTGACACTCTGTACAGACATTTCTGTTCCCCAGAGCGATTGAGCACTGCCAATAGCCCCCTGAACCTCAGTTGCAGATACTGCTATGTTCGCTGCTTCTTTTCTTAAGTCGCGCGGCTTCAGTCTTTTCTTAAGTCGCGCCTTTTAGGTATTTTTGTAAGTCGTGCCGCTTAAGCCTTTTCTTAATCGGGCCGTCGGTCTTTTCTTAAGTCGTGCCCTTTAAGTCTTTTCTTAATTGGCACCGCTTAAGTATTTTTTTAAAGTCGCGCCGCTTAAGTCTTTTCTTAAGTCGCGCCGTCAGTCTTTTCTGACGACTTAAGCGGACTTTTCTCACCACCTAAAGAAAAGACTTAAGCGGCGCGACTTAAGAAAAGAATGACGGCACGACTTAAGAAAAGACTTAAGCGGCGCGCTTTAAGATAAGACCGACGGCGCGACTCAAGAAAAGACTCAATCGGCGCGACTTAAAAAAAGACCTAAAAGGCGGGACTTAAGAAAAGACTGAAGCGCGGCGACTTAAAAAAAGACCGATGCCGCGATTTAAGAAAATACTTTTACTATTTTGTTCAGTCGCTCATGTCGCGGCGGTTAATTCTCAGTCAAGCCGGTCTGGTTTTGAAAGTTTTCAGTCGCGCCGGTCGAGCCATTACCTTAGGTCGCGCCGGTTCCGACGGTGTTTTGAGTCGCGCCGTTTCCGACGGTGTTTTGAGTCGCGCCGGTCGCGGTAGTTTTTTCAGTCGCGCCGGTTTTCAATTGCCAAGTTTCGGTTCCGCCGGTCTGGAATTGCCAATATAAAGTCGCGCCGGTTCGGAACTGCCAATATAAAGTCGCGCCGGTCTGGAAAGGCCAAATTTGGGTCGCGCCAGTCTTTTCTTAACTCGCGGACCTCGACCCGGGTTCCAATCAAATTCGTCAACCAATTGTTTTTTAGATTGATAGGTGCAAAATAGGGGTTGAGAAATTAAACGATAAGCAAATTAGACGGAAGCACTTAAAAGGAAATTAGACGATTTTGTAAAACTGCAATTATGAGAGAATAGATGAAAGTGAGAGAGATTAAAATTGCTTTACAGACAAATTGAGTGAAAAAAATAAAATTGTTTGCAGATAGCAGTTAAGTTTTGGTGGCTAAAAATTTTACATGTCAATCATGCATAACTTATTCAATTCAAAACTCTCCTGCAATTTTCGGAGTTGACATTTCATGTTCATTTTGTACTTGTGAAACTTGACTCTTAAGAAAAAATTTTGTTGGCTTTTTCCTTTTCATAGCAGTGACGTCTAAAATGCCAGATCTGAAAAAAAATGTCGTCTAAATTAGTTTTTGTAGCATCCGTCTAATTTGCATATCGTCTAATTTCCCAGGCCTCGTGCAAAATATATCACTTAGCACTTAGCATAGCGTGTCGGGGAAAACTTTCAATATAAATCAGGGAGAAAGCTCAACAATTTACACGTATTTGAAGTCTTCATTGGTTTTTCAGATCAAACATTATTTTATACGTTGAAACCCTTCAAAATTTTGCCCTAATACATTTATAATTGTTGGATTCCAGTTGCTTAAGAGAGCGCACTGGGTTAATTGGATACTAAGCACGCGTAAATTGATCCAATAAAATTGCAATTTCGACCCTTCTTACGTTTGCAAAGACGAAAAATCAATTTAATTTAAAGCACAATACATCAAGGACTTGTAGAACTTTCTACGCTATTTTTCTTCAGACTTTTGAACACTAAAAAGGGTTTTGGCCGAGATTTTTTCTAATCAATATTTTAATTAGTGAATTCTGTTGTGATACCTGTGGAATGGAAGAGACGAGGGCGACTGCGACGCTGCCGATGATGAGGAATCGGAGCTTGAAGGGGTTGGACAGTCTCTGTGTGAGGGGGAAGGAGAGGTTGAGACATCTGTCCACTGATAGGCTGAGGATGAGAAAGGTCGACAGAAGATCCAGGAACACCTGTAGAGTGGAACCACAGAATGTTAATAAATCAAGATATCTACCTAGTAAGAGATGACTCTCCTCTCATCATCAAACGCAACATATTTTTCTCTGACTATTTTCATATATAGCAGTGTAGATTCTATTGTTAAGAAGTAGTTATTGTAGTGAGTTTTCTCTTGACCAATGCTGCAATTGAATGCGATCATATTCATGCTTTTTTAGTCTTCATTAGACAAATTAAAAACTTCATCAGGGAACTGTCAGGGCTGGCTTAAAATTGACATCTGCTAAGCCAACTCTCTTTCCAATTTACCAAATCAAATTAGAAAGAAACCTTAAAAAGGTCATTCAAAAAATTTAAAGTTTTTTCCGGCATGTTTTCCAACCCACGTGGCTTTATGCGGAAAATGCTCTAGGTGATACTTCTTAGTAAATTTGAGCCCAAAACGTCAAAATCTTAAGATGGTGCAAAAAAGCGTCGAAAACAAAAATTGTTTGTTTTAAGACTTTGTTTGCCTGAGAAAAACATTCCGATTGCTAATAATATTTTTTTACTTTTTTTTCTATAAAACACGTAGCAAATTAAAAAAAAAACACTTGTCGTCATCGCAATTGTTGGAGAAAACTAGGTCTTCATAACTTGGAAAAAAAGAAAAAGTTGTTCCAGGAATATAAATCCTTAAGAGTGTTACCCGTTTATTTTTGTTTTCAAAATAGTTGAATTTTGAAAATTTACAAAAAAAACCAAAACGAAACAAGGATGGCTGGTTACTGTGCAAGTAGCACAGATTTTTTCCGACCATAGTTTTTAGAGAACTACGCTTTGAATTTTTTTCCCAATTTAGTGTAGTTTTCTCTGCTTGGTGTGATAAAAGGATCTGAAGTAAAAATAATTTAGGCATATTAGACAATCATAGCAACACATGCAAACAGGACACAAATTTTTATTAATTATAAAAATGACTAAAAAAAATTTAAATAAAAAAAAACTCTTTGGAGAAAGTTTTTGAATTTTTTGAAGTTTTTGGTTTCCAAAATGAAGCTAAAAAAACTCGTTTTACTTGCTTAAATATAAGTTTTAACCTCTTAAAGTAGGCATAGTCCGATGATTATTTGTGGTACCTGATTTTGCGCGGAAAGCAAAAAGAAAAAAATCTAAATCACACCCGAATACAAATTTCCTCCCCGTTTTCAATACTAAGAATAATGAGACACTGGCTTCAATTTAAGTTGTAAACTTTTGTCGACACAAATTTGCAATTTTCTCACTCAGTTTTTCTGACCCCCTTAAAAATGCTGCATTTTTTACAGAAAAGATCATCAATTTTCAATCACATTCTAGGTCCTCTACAAAGAACATATTCCGGTTTATAAATTTGTAATTTTGATAAAAATGCAAAACGTTTGTTGGGAACTATTGATTCGATTACAGGATGCTGCTTACAGGAGCTATATCCTCTTTCAGAACAGTTTCTTGTGCTTGGCTTCCCCGCATCTAACAAAAATGATGAGAAATAATTTTAACAGACGTTTTTTCTGTAAAAATTTATCAGTCTAATCGATTGCATGTTGCAGACAACAAAATGGATCAATTATAATCCAGTTAAAATGAATTAAAATGGATTTTTTCCACTTTTTAATAGTTTCCGCAAAATTTGCCATAAATTCTACATTTATTAAATGAGCAATGCAGAAAATTTGCAAAGCGAGATTTCTACGCCTAAACTTTTTTAAATTGAAAAACAATTTCGTTAACCTCACCCCATCCAACCCCAACTTTTGTCCCTTTGTCCACACCCCCACCTAAACCAACACACCAACCTAAACCAATACCCCCGCGAAAACCTAACCCTTCTCCCACGCGGTTTTTAATCTTGATCCTCCTTCTCTCCCCAAGCGTTTCACCGGTCATTTATTTTTTTTCTTCTTTTTTTTCGGTCAGAAAAGACATTTTTGGAAAGATTTGATCAAATTCAATTTTTGGGCTCGCAAACCCTTGCAAAACAGTCAACCTACAACTTTACTACCCCCTAAGAATTCTAAATTGCTGTGATTTGTCTTTTGCTGTTTTAAATGACCTTCGGTATTAATTAAATACCGGTTAATGTTGTTCGATATGACCATCGGTCGATCGTAGAGTGATCGTTCAGTTATTGTTTTAGAACGTTTTAAATTCACACACTCTATTTTATCTGTTTTATCTTTTTAAGTAATTGTACATTAGTTGTACATAAATCGTAGATTAACAGAATACTTTATTATGAGTCAGTCTAATGATTCGAACGTACGTGGAATCCCCCCTTCTGGCCAAACCACACTCTAGAGCCACCGCATGCCTGGACTCAATGGAGCGACCAATTCAATTGGCGATAATTGCAAAAGAAAATCTGGACATAGAGAGCCTAAAAGGACCGGAGGTACCAGAAACGCAAATCCCCATTTTGGAACAAGTAACAGGAAGCGAGTCGGACACGGACAGAGCCAGTAGAGAGACGAGAAATAAGAACGCAATGAAACAAAACCAAGCCGCCAAAGAAAAGCGGATCAATGAAGAGAAAAGAAAAATCAACGGAATGAGACGGACGGAAGCGTATAAGAAACTGCGTTCAGTCTTATTTTTTAGCTCTAGGGAGCAAAAGAAAAAGGGGGTCTTCACTCAAAAAAACCCGAGGTTCAAGATTTTAGCAATCTCCTTCACAGAGTTTTGGACCTTACTTGACGCAGCATTCAACAAAACTCCTAACACAACGTTCGAGAGGTATAAATTACTAAACCGCAAACAGAAAGACCGGGAATCATATGAACAATTCTGGGGAGCACTAATGACTTGGCGAGTACTTGTAAAATAAGAGAGAACGACGAAGCCGAATGGATAAGAGATGTTTTCATTTGTAACATGAGAACCACAGATACCCAAAAGAAACTTCAATCAGCAACGATAAGTCCGACAGAAGCACTCAACCAGGCCTTGATCGACGAAAAAGTATATTTTGACCACCAAAAATGACAAATATGGCAAAATCGCCGACCAATGGGCCATTTTTTGAATCTTTTAACAATCACAATCAGATCAAGAAGGAACCAAGTTTCAACATAGAAAGAAGCAACGCGTGCATGAAATGTGGGAACCCATTTACGAAAGGACACCTAAACGTATGCCCAGCGAAGGATATAACATGTAAAAATTGTAATTACAAAGGACACTTCGCCAAACAATGTAAATCTCGTAACAAACGACCCACTGTATATACTGTAATTGATAACTATGTAAATACTGAGAATTGTACATACGCCTCACCGGAAAGCTCGTGGGGCGAAAATCAAGAATCTTGCGATGTGATAAACGGCTGGAACAAATACGGGCAGAGCGACGACGACGACTTCTCAGTACTTAGCGTGAGAACGATTTATGACGAAAACGGGCTGGAAACCAAGAAACTGCAAAACATAGGCTTGATATGGGAGATAATCGTGAATATGAATATCCCGATAGACTCAGCAAGCCCTGTAAGCTTTTTGAAACAAAACGCGATGCACCAGCTCAAGCTAAGATACACCAACCTGAAAATCTACCTCGTGGAGAAGCGGATTAAAGACTTGTAACTTGTATTGTGGTTTCACTGACGGTACTACCAACATCTTAGGAAAGATCATCGTTAGGACACAATCCAACTGGTGGATCAGCGAAGAAACTCCGTTCTTTATAACTAGAGGATATGAACGCAACATTCTGGGGAATAACAACTTACCTAAGTTAAGCATCAAAGTAAAACAGAAGAAACGCCCCATGGTCAACCATGGTCAACCAACCACCATTTGAGAGTAGGTGTATAAATTTGCACTCATCAAATGACAAAATTTTTAGCGAGTTCAAAGAACTATTCACCAGAGAGGGAAAAAGTTTCTAACGACCACAAAGTAGCACACGTTTAGTAGCAAAGTAGCAAAGTAGCACAATTCCTACCGACCAACGGAGTACGACCGTTGGTCGGTAAAATGGACGCCATCAAAAATTTACCAATCCCCAAGAACATTTCGGAATTGCGATCGTTTTTCGGCTCGATAAATCAGTATGTGCAATTCGTCCCGAACTTTTCAACTTTATGTTCCCCACTACGTCTACTGTTGAACAAAAAAATCTGTAGATAAATGGGATATTGTTCATTCCTCAGCCTTCGAAAAAGTAAAATCCGAAATTGTAAATATCACAGAAAATAGCCACTTAAACCAGGTTAAAACCGGATGCTTCGCATAGCGGACTAGGCGCAACTCTAGAACAATTACAAGGGGGCCAGTGGAAAACGATTGCCTTCGCCTCAACGTTTTTTTAAATAACCATGAAATGAAGTATTCTACGAACGAACTAGAATTACTGGGTGTGGTGTGGGCCTCAGAACACTCGAGAAGTTAGCTTTACGGGACAGAATTCGAAATTGTCACGGACCAAAAAGCCTTACTCTCTGCACTTTCGGCAAACCACGGAAATAAGACTATGCATAACCAATTTACCCGTGGTTAAACGTGGTTAAACAGACAATATCTTTTAATTTTAAAATTTCCCATATCCCAGGAAAAAATTTGGGTTACGACGAAGAATTTTCCCACCTTCTCACTACGACGAAGAATTTTTTGTCGCTTCAATCGACAAAATTCAGAATATTTTATCTTATAGATCAAATTTTAGTTCTGTATATGTTAATTTTGTAGATAGACCGTCGGTCGCAATAAATACTAATCTTGTCGTGAATAGTAATATCCAGCCGGGAGTAGAAAATTCAAGTGACGTGATTGGTCAAAGTTTTTCGAATAGCTCTGTAGCTAATTTGAAACTCAAATTTTTTGTCGCTATTATATCTTGAATAGCTCAGTCAATAAAAGTTTGCGATAAATACCCCATACGAGCAGACAATTGTACTTCCAAGTGTTAACCTATCGATAGTTGTAAATTTAACTTCAGGAGCATCACTTTCTCGGACAAGGTCCTTTTACATTTCATTTTTAAAAATATACAGTTC